AAGCACTAAAATCGTCACCTCTCATTTTATGCTTTGGGAATATAATGTGGTCTCCAAGTTTTTTGGTATAATTGATGAAAAGTAAGAATTGTGACTATAAGGATCTGTTTTTTTTTTTGTTTTTTTGTTTTTTTCTATCTGAGTCTCCTCACTGGCTAAGAACACCTGCCTCTGAGAACAAACCACATTTTGGAGTGTACAGTACGGAAAAGCGCTCCTGGGCCCCCCACCCCCGGGAGCTCTGGTTCTGCCGACCTCTGCAGGGCCCAGGAGTCACACACGCCCTCCGCAAGCGTGGCAAACATTGCTCTGAGTCAGAAGAGCGACTGTTACTGTTCTTGGCGTTAATTAAGAAGGTTTAATGAAGCTGACTCTCAGGCCTGGTTAATGCAGGTCTATCTGTCGGCATCTCGATCAAGTCCTTTTACTCTTACACTTAAGGAAACTACACCCTTTTGTGGATGAATGTTACTGGGAATAATAGCAGACTCACAGGTGTTCGCTGGATTTTCATACCGTTTTTCTGTGAAGGTCTTGAAAAGACCCTGGGTTCCTCGGGCCGAGGTGACTCTGTGGCTGTCTCCGTGAGGCCGGGATCCGACGGGAGTGTGGTCCTGTGAACCCAGCTTTAGCTGCCCTGGGACCAGTTGACAAGAAAGCCTTCTTTGTGGCTGAGTGAAAGAGGCTAGTTTCTGGGGAGCGAGGTTAAGTTCACTGAAGAGGGGAGGGGGAACAGCAGGAGTGCGCAGGTGTGTGGGGCGGAGCCGGGAGAAGAGGCAGAGGCGGAGGGCCAGGCAGGCGGAGGTGAAAATGTAGGGAGGACCCAGCCAGCAGTGGCCCATGATGATGGCGCTGGAGTCTGGGCCCGGGGCGGACAGAGAGTGGGCACGAGTCAGGGTGAAACTGGATGAAATTCACAGACGTAGAAGTAGTCGTGTGTGGTGGTCTCTCCGTGTGTAGTCCATGGCTGACTCACACTAGACAAAGTGGGCTGAGCGAGAGGCCCTGGTACATGTGTAAACCTCAGTGGCCAAGCGAGCATGGGGACAGAATGAGGAAGGAAACAGGAGAGGAGTCTGTTGCTAGATGCCAGCTGTTTCTTTCTTTATAGATAGACAGGTACTTTCTCCCTCCAAAATTCCAAGCAAAAATGGGACCTGCTCTGGGAGAGAATCAATTAATTTTTCTCTCGCCTAGGGCGCTGGCGAGGACAAAATTTGCCAGCACAACACGTAACTCTGGCAGGCGCGAGGGTCAGATCTAGATGGGTAACTCCTTTTCCTCTAAATGAGAGCCATTTTCTTAACGTTTCTCTCTTCCCTAGATGTCTGTGTTTATAGCAAGCTTAGATCGTATAGCACTCGCCAGAATAATTTGGCCATAATTGACCCAAAGACTTCTTTTCTTTTTAAGGACCAACCAGATATTCTGACAATCTGGGAAGGATCAACGGCAGGGAGCCTCCACCGATAAACAAAGGAGATTAACCATTCTCGTATTACAAACACAAAATCAGCAGTCATAAGCGCTGAGAAAACATATGTACAATATCACAGCTTGTGCTAGGCTCTTAAGCTCTTCCCCAGTCGATACCTTTATTCTCAAATGATTTTTATCCTTCCTTGTATTTATCCAAATTGGAAACGACACCGCATTTACACTGCCTTTTATAGAGTCAGAGCACTTAGCAGACTTCAGCGGGTCTGGTTAAGTTGCTTACAGCTCTGAATTCTAGGGCTCGCCGTGATTAGGTGCGGCTGTAAAAAGAGGAAAAGCATACTTCTCGGGTTCTGTCAACTGGCTCCAAGAATAATGAGCGTGTTGTCATAACCGTATTGATAATGACTAACGTGTATTTTTCCTTTGAGCCAAGCGCTAGGCGGAGCACGTTACCTGGATTACCCTATGACGTAGGCAGTACAGTTAGTCCCATTTAAAGAGGAAATGAGTGAGGTTCAGAACTCTTCAGGCGCCCACATCTAGGAACTGGAAGACCCAGGACTCAAATCCAGGCCGTTGGGGGGGGCTTCACCCCAACTCCCTGTGGCCTCTCACAGCCTGGAAATGGTGTGTTGGGGGGAAACAGCCCTCTGAGGCGTGCTCACGTGCTCAGAACCAACCCGCAGGGGGCGTGTACGGGCGCGGTGGTACAGGACACCAGACTTTTCTGATTTTTCCCGCTTTCAGTAACTTTGCTCCATTTTCTCTGACACTGAAACTGCTTCTCTCAGATTGAATGGTATTCACACACTCGCTTTAATAAAGTAACAGGAGCTTTTCAGTGCATGCTTTAGTTTCATCGTCTGCTTTGGGGAAGAGGTGGCTCTGGAGGCGGGCGTCATTTATGCACGTGTCGAGGATGAATAGTCAGCATCCACTCAGATCGGAAGCCACCGGTCCAGAGGTGCAGGCGGGACAGCCTTGGATCCCCAGGAACAGGGCTGGGGAAGGGCTCTAGTGAACGTAGGGAAGTGGGACAGCCTGGAATGGGGGTCAGGTTTGTCCAGGGTTGGCCCGTTCAGCCCCCAGGGAAATCACTGCCGCACAGGAGTCTACCCGGCCATCCTAACTGCGGTGCCTGGTGCTGGGTGTCCTTTCTACCCCGGGGGGTTCTGCGTACATTGATTATATTCCCTGTGCTTCAAACTTCCTCCTCTGTCTAGTGGGAAAAATGGTGTTTCTATTCTCCACCCCCACCACCCTATTTCTCTCCTAGGTATAAATTGTAGTTATTTTGGGTTGAATCAGTCATAGTGAAGTGGCCAGAGTGGCTTTAAAAGACTCTTAATGGGTGACTTTTTTTTTTACTTTCTTTACCTCAATGGCCACGTCTTAAGGCAGACGGCACAGATGTACCGAAATCTATAGATGCCTGGAAAGTACTCACGAGGATGATTTTTATAACATCTTTAAATGAATGGACTTCCCTTCTCCAAATGACTCCTGGAGTTTTCCCCCCAATTTGCCTTTCTTAGAGTTTGATCCTATTACCATCTTTGATTCCTTTCTCTTTTACAAGAGTGTTCTATTGCTACAGACTTTTGCATGTCCTCTTGCCATGTTCTTTTTCTCTTTATTTTATTTAAAAAAATTTTATGTAGTCTTATTGAAATTTTTTTTTGGTGGGGAGGGTAATTGGGTTTATTTATTTATTTTTAGAGGAGGTACGGGGGATTGAACCCAGGACTCTTTGCATGCTAAGCATGTGCTCTACCACTGAGCTACACCCTCCCCCTCAGATTCTCTTTTGCTTTTCTCACTGATTGAGCTTTTTTTTATTTTTGTTTTACCATTAAGTTCTGGCACCCAGAGTAGAGCACTATAAACTTAGGATTTCTAGATTGGTCTATGAAAATTAAGTATCTACATTCCCAACAATGTCTAGTGTCTTAAGGTCCATGAGAGAAGTCCCTCCCTCAAAGATGTAGCGACAAAGCTAAAGACTGAGGGAATCCTCAATTCACTGCAGTTGATGCTCAATCGTATTTATTAAATCAAGAGCGAGCTTGTGATAATTATCACAGTGTGGTTTTAGAAGTGCTTTTCAACTTTAGAAAAATGCTTGGATCAAGTATGAGCAGAAGTGGGTGAGTTAGACATCAGAGGAAAAAAAGAGATGAGATTTGGGGCTGGTGGCTTTATTATTCATTATTATTATTATTATTATTATTATTATTATTATTATTGTTATCATTTCAGCTAGAAAAGTGGGTGAGATATGCAATAGTATAAAGAAACAATTTAAATGAAGCTTTGGACGTTGTGATCAAGTAGAACACATAACGAACACATTGGCCATTGTGCCTGGTCTCAAAATGTGTAAGGAGAAAGCCACAGACTTTTTATAATGGGAAAATTTTTTTAATTGAAGTATAGTTGATTTACAGTATGATATTAGCACCAGGTGTACAGCCTCGTGATTCCGTATTTTTGCAGATTATGCTCCATTGTAGGTTATTACAGGAAAATGTTAAACGAGAAGAGAGATCAAAAGAAGGACCAGCGAGATCTCATCAGGGGTGTCTGGGGGTTATTTTCTTTGTGATGCTCTGGAGCTTATGCTTTGTAATTAGAAAGAATGATCCTTGGTCTGTCTGCCCCATCCTGTGATGGAGGAGACGGTTTAGGGCTGCAGGGAAAGGCACATGGAGAGCATGGGGCTGACCGAAGCCTCAAGGCTGCAGCAGCCTTGGGTCCTTCGGTGGTGGGAGGTGCTGGCTTCCATGACATCTGAGAAGGCGGAAAGGTAATTAACCAATAAGAGACAAGGTGTTACTGAAAAGTGGAGTTCGCGCACCTGATTACTAATTAATCAGGCGTGAGAGCACCTTGTAGATGCACTCACTATTTAATTATAGCAGCCTCTCTTGGCAAAGGAGCATATGTTCCCAGCTTAATCTACTGGTTTATATGACATCAAATTGTCATTATCAGAAAGAATCAGGCCTTTTGATTATTTCCACTAATTTATTGAACACTTAAAATTAACGAACCCCAGGCCTTTTAAATGTGCTCAGTTGGTTTGGAAGATGGGAGGGGGGGTGGGGTGGAGAAAAGCCTTCATTAAAAGGACAATTTGTTTGGGGAAAGGTAAAGCAAATACATTTCACGGGTGATCTGAACTCTATTGGTGAAAAATGCATGCATTCTGAAAGTGGAGCCTTCCAACCGATACAGAGGAAATGGGATGTGAGGGGTGCCCTGCTGACCATCATTGGCCTCCACAGAACATATGGTTAAAGGATTTCCCCCCCTAATTATTTATGTGCCAATTCTCTAGGAAACCTCACTGCAATTAAGTTTAATCAAATAAAAGCAATCACAACCAAATGCTGGAAATCAATTGTTCAGCTAACTAACAAGGACTTCCTTTTTTTTTATTTTGAAAATTTTCTTAGGTTGGGGAGAATTTAGCATAAAGCCATCTTTCTCCCATTGGAATATCTTTTGTATTAAGGGAATCTTTGTATCACATCCAAGTGGTGGCTTTTTGTTTTCAGTTTCAGGTGAAGGCCAAGTTCAAGTGAGTCTCCAGGTGAGGGAAGGTGTGTCCCCAACTATTTCAGGTGAGTATTAACCCACCAAATAGACTGCCTGGCACAGCAGAATGTCCTCCCAGAGGTTTATAAATTCTTCCCATCACATTGTTTGTAGGGCAGGGATCAGCCTGAACGCTTTTATGTCTGACAACAATTTATTGTGTCACCCCTACAGCTAAAATAGATGTCTGCATGTCAGAGAAAGATATAAGAATGGTGCACTTCAGAACATTGGAAAGGAAGAATTACGACATGTAAATAAGCACATTTCATAAATTACGGACCATATGTGCACACAGGAGTCCAGATCTGTAAATGAGTCATTAGACCCCCACCAAATGGAAAGAAAAAATTCAGGGTACCTCAGAACTTTAATTGTTCCCAGTAATTTCAGGAAATCAGGGTAAACAAATCGTCCCCAAAAGTCAGATGGTTCTGTGAAACCTTTATAACTCATAAAAGCTAAACTCTCAAAGACTAAATGACTCAGAAGCACCTTCTAATGTATTTCATTGTTTGTTTTTGTTTATCCTGAGTCCGTTTAACTATACATTTGCAGCAGGGATAAATCTTTTCAAAGGCTGAGTTTTCCTTTGATTTCCAGTGGCATTTTTGTGTGTGTGTTATGTCAGAGAAGAGCCCAGGCTAATCAGAAAATGATCTAACTCCTCCGTTTAAATTAATAAGTAAATGAGGTTGCAGGTATTGGACTAAAACGCTAAGCTAGAAGTACGGACAATGACTACTCCACGCTTATTGGACTAAGAAACACGTGATTCTTTGTTTCTATGTCTGTTTCTGAGCTGCCATAGCGTTGGCTCTTTAGGTCCCTGGTTCTTTATCACTTTTTTTCCTTTAGGTGCCTCAGAAGGCTTTGTTTGTTGACTGCCTCTCATGGGAGATGTGGGCGCTGTAATGGTGGACACGATGGAATGGTCTTTGACTTCATGGAGGTCTTATGGTCACCAAGGAATGTCAATCAAGTGACTAATCAAGGAATAAGTTTCTTTTAAAATAACTGTTACCAAGGAAAAGTGTCTTACAATTCTCTGTTCTCTGGATGTCCCAAGAAGAGATTCATTCGATCGATTGGGTCAGTCCCCATTTTGTAGGGGACCTTTGGGGAGCTCTTGTGCCAGGCCCCCTCGGAGGACACCAGGCCTTCTATGGGTGGCCACTCCTGGGCCAAGCAGCTTAAGTCTGCATGACATGCCACTCAGCACTTAGTGTGAAGATTTCTGTCTTCGGGACTCTTTGGAAGGACACTGTGGGTGGCCAGTATCCAGGGCTTTTCAGCAGGGGTCAGTTTAACTGGGAGATGATTCACTTGGCCTGTCGCTTACAACATGCTGAATGAATGGAAAGCTGATGCTTCATAGAGTTGTAGAGTTTTAATAAGGGAAGGAACCTCACAGGCTTTCCTATCCAGTTGCCCCATTTTACAAATGAGAGCACGGGAGCCTAAAGTTTAGTTACAACAGTAGTGAGTGGTTGAGCCTGGATGAGAACTCGTTTCCAACTCAGTCCAGTGTTCTTTCTTCTATACCTTGTAAACCCCAAAGTGTTCAGATTACTTTTGGCATATATTAATTTATGAGTTAGATTAAAATCAACTATATATAGCCAGTTTTCCTAGCCTACATAGGTTGGGATAGTAAACTATCCTGAGACACAGGACACAGGGAGTTACAAAACTAGTCCATTACCGTTCATTATATTCAAATATTTATTACTATAGTTCCATGACGTTGCTTGATTTCCATGGTGTGGGGTCTATGTGCTAATGTCAAAATTTAAATGTGGGTGCATGTTTTGTTTAATGGAGAGCTCTATGGAAAAATAGAACAATGTTTGCAATATCAAAGATTCTTTGACAAACCAAGAATGGAATAAATAATGGAGTTTCAGCAGTACATTTACCCACTCAGAGATCCAGTGAGTATGTAATACAGGAAAAACATTCCGGGTTAAGGTGTTCTGCTGCGGAGCCTTTCAGCTCACTCAGTTCATTGAGGGCTTAGTCCTTGTACGTGATCGTGCTCATCCTTGTGGGGACATTGTGGAAACTCCAGAGGCAGCAGGAACTAGGATACGTGTGGGCCAGTGCTGGAAGAGGCAGAGGAGGTGGTGCTGATGAAGGTTGTCATCAAGGTGCTGAGTGGACTTGGGCTAAGGATTTATGCTAATTTGGGTCAAGATGGTACCCAGGTTTGTGAAGATCCCAATGCAAGTCTTTTATTCTCCTCCAGCACTGTGGCTTCCCTGGCTTCCTCTCAGTGTCCACGATGCTTTTTAAAAGATGGGAGAGAGGAGGCAGGTGAAGCGACCCACACTAGGGGGAGATAAAAATATTTCCGCAGAGTCTTCACCTCAACTGTGTTGTCTTTTCAGTGGGGGCTCATTGCAAATGATGCCAATAGTTGTATCAGGATATTTAGATGATCAGATAATCTCTTCTTAAATATGCCATTCCTTTCGCCACAGATCTAAGTTTCTTTCTTTTCCTCTAGTCTCTGAATCTAGTCAGTCTTTCTCCTTTTAAAGTCACCCTACCCCTTCCAGCAGCTTCTGAACTTTATCAGTGAATGACTCTTTATCTTGTGAAGTTAACCTCTCCGTCTTTCCTGTGTTCAGTGCCTCTCAATTAAAAAAAAAATCAAAGCAAAGCACAATTTGTGGATACTGTATCCTCCTCTAGTTGACATCGCTCCTGCAAACTTCCCAGAAGACCAGCCTCCTCCTGATGAGAAGCCATAAAATGCTGGGTAGCTGAAGGATTAAGGTGGAGAAAGCACTATTTGGCTTATATACCCAGTTGAAGACCCCCTCAAATTATGGTGGTTGTTGATTTGATAAATTTGAGAGGAAAGTAGGGGTGAGGGTTCATCGCAAAGGCTGGTCCTGACCAGGACTCCAGTTTCAAGAGACGTCTAATTTATCTAAAAGTTGGGAAGACAGATCAAAGTCTGAGGGTTTCAAATCTTAAAGCTGTCCATTCCTCAATGAGCTTTTATTTTTTAATTTTTAAAAATTATTTTTTAACTTGAAGTAGAGTTGATTTACAATGTTGTGTTAGTTTCTGGAGTACAGCAGAGTGATTCAGTTATACATATATAATTATATTCCTTTTCCTATTCTTTTTCATTATAGGTTATTGCAAGGTATTGGATATAGTTCCTTGTGCTGTGCAGTAGGATCCAGTGTCTTGCCTTTCTCACTTCCAGTGTGTTCCTCGATCCACTGTAATCCACAGTGGCTTCCACCTCCACCACTCCGCTGGGACCCTCTTCCTTGATCACCCATGCCCTGGCTGTCACATTCAATAGTCACTTCTTGTTCCCTCTTTTACTGGAACTTTGCTATTAATAACATTCTCCATTTCTTCGTCGTCCAAGCCATTTCCCTCTTCTGGTTCTCCCTGTATGTCTCTGACGGCTTCTTTAACTCTTGACGTTTCTTCTCCTCCCCACTTTGTACGTTAAAAAAAGTTGTCTAGAAGCCTGGTGTTAACTGTATGGGCATCTAATAACTCTTGAGGAGACTGAAACATAGCCTTCTCCACTGAGTTCCTACTTGAAGGCAGAGCGGTATAGAATGATCAGATTCGTTCATCATTGCCTCCCTTGGGAGAGCCACCTTAAGGTTTAGTTTGTTCATTAAAAACCATTGCAGCCCTCTGTAAACAAGAGCGAAAGATGGCAAAGGTGAAGAATGTTTGCTTCCAAAGCTGTGATACAAAAATTGAAGTAATTAAGGTTTTTTTTTTTTTTGAGGCTTGGAGTAGGATTTTAAGGAACCTGGTCATTGCTTGTTCGAAAAATCACTGTATATAAGAACATCCCTCTCTGGCCTCGGGGATGTTGGTTAGTGGCCATTTCAACAAATGCCCCCACCCTAACCCTACCTGGGAGATAGTATTGCAAAGGAGGCAAAGTTGGGAGGAAACTTAGGCCCCATATTATTGGTGTGTAGAAATATTCCTAAAGCCTGTTTCTGAGTGAGGCTTGTTCCCAGATGCTGCCTGATTTCCACGGCGTGCGGTGTATTTTGTGCTAATTAAATTGCCTTGGATTTCTACCTGACCGCAATCCATATACTTTTACATTTCCCCAGGGCCCTAATTAGACCGTGACCACTGGGGAGTTGGGTTCAGGTAGACAAAATAGTTGGGTGTTCCTCATGGTTCTGACCTCAGGCATTTTCTCTTTCCACACTGCAGTCCCCTGGAGCCATCACAACCATGCTCAGATTTTCAGTTACGACCTCTGGACCAGTGATGCCCAAATCCGTCTCTCTGACTCAGAGCTCTCTCCCATCCTTCAGAGTCACAGCCATCCCCTGCTTGCCATATATCTCTTCAGAGACACCCCAAACTCTATGTGGCCCAAACTGAGTTCATCGCTGTCTGTCTTCATGGCATCCCCACCTGACACCACTGCTGGAAACCCAGCGGCTACCATTGGCTCCTCCATCTTTGTCACCCTTCCCACTCTGAACTCTGGTTATTCCTCCAGCCTGACCACCTGCCTCCTTCCAGCTCTGGGACTCAGCAACACCGAACTGCTTGTAGTTCCTCCACGTGCTCTCTCATTTTTTGCCACTGCGTGTGCTCATCCCTCTGGAGTGCAGACTCTCACCACATCCCCTCACCGCCGCCTCCCCCTTTAGGCTGGTAGGTCCTAAGCCTTCACAATGCAGCTCAGATGCTGCTTCTGCAGGAAGCCTTCCCTGGCAATGTCTCACTGCCTCCCTTGGTCAGGAACCATTAAAGAGAACTCCCTTCAGTGCTCTATTCCCCCAGTAATTTACTTACGTACTTACACAACGTTGTTACCCCCTTGGGGGCAAGCACGACATTTTATGTCTTTTTGTGTCACTATTCTTAGGACACTTCTGATAGAGAAGGCACCCATTATCCATGCTGGTGAAATTAGCAAGTAGTAGATAAGATTTACCCTCCATTACGTGAGTTCTTGAGTCTCCCAGAATTTCTCCCTTGCCTGAGAAGAAAGTATTTTTCACAGGACAAGTATATATCCCCCCCGAAAGACCTAGTTTCATTGATGGTTTGCTTTGAACTTCTTAAGTTAAGGCTGAACAAAAGAAGGTCTGTCCTGGAAGAAGCACATTTGGTCTGTGAATCTTTTCCTCCTCCTCCTCTGAGGCAGTCTCTCTGGCCTTCTGACTCTGTTAGGGATCACATTCCAGAAACGAACACGTGGGTACCTTTCAGCGTGGTGCGGTGCAGGGCAGTGGGAGGGTGGAAAAGAAAATGCCATTTGATCATCAGGGGCTGAATCAGTAAAAACCAGGGGTAACATACAAGCTGTATGTGCGTTACTACAGTGAGAGGTGTTCAGATTATTACCCTGCCTTTAATTGCATTAAGAGCTGTATTAATTGCTCTTAGTGATTCCATTGCTAAGATTTAAGAAGAAATTATGAATCCTGGCAGGTTTGCTTGGAGATACTTAATATTGCATTCTTTATAATTTAAAAAGAAAGTAGAAAAAGCCTAAATGCCAAACATGGAGGCTTAAATAAATTATAGATTTTTTATATGATAGAATATTATGTAGCCATTAAAAGTATGTTTACAAGGAGTTTTAGTGACATTAGAAAACAAATACATATATTTGTACAACTGAACATGATGCTGTACACCAGAAATTGACACATTGTAACTGACTATACTTCAATAAATAATAAAAAAAGAAAATGCATATGAAAACCTGCTAAGCAAAGTAAAATAAGAGCTGAATGTAAAATTGCATGTGATAGGGTCTAAATTATGTAAAAATGCTGAGAAATTCTGGAAGGAAATACAAATAAAAGGTTAATGGCTGTTACCTCTAGGTGGCGAGACAGTAGGCAATTAGTATTTTTTCTTCTTCTTTCTATATTTGCATTTTCCAAATGTTTCACAATTAACATATGTTACAATATTTATAATAAAGGTGAAACACTAACGTTTAATAATAAAAGAAGAGTATATTTTCCCAGAAGTGGAAGTCATCTAAGGATTGAATCATTATTTGCTTTATACGTGATGATGTGTTTTTGTGGAAGGTTATTAACTGTCTAAAGGCAGCTACTTTGGGAAGCGACTGTGTCACCAGCATCCTAACATAGGGATCGAGTTTGCAAGTTGTCATCGTGAATCAGATTTTCATAGTTACCTTTGCTGTTTTCCTTTTGTTTTCTAGCTTCTACCTTGGCACCTGAATCGATTTTAAAGTGGTCCCTCCCTGAAGCGTGGGAAGGTGTGGAAGAGGGCTGGGGAGGACACAACGGTACCATTCCAGGCCCTGGGGATGACGTCCTGATTTTACCCAGTGAGTGAAACAATCTATGGGTTAACTAGTCACAGACAGACCAAACCAGGTCAGTCTCATTGGGGATTACCTGTCACTCACATACATTGAACAACACAGCAAAGAACGTGGAAGTGAGTAGGCGCTTATGTCTACCACCTTCTCTTTGGGGGTTATTCCAAGAGAGGAATTTCATAACCCAGGAAAAATGAGAAAAAATTGTTCATTAAAGGTTCACCTCTATTAAAAGTGGGATAAATCATCTTCGTGCCAAAAGGAGTTAGACTCATCTGCTAACTGGGTAATTTTTCTACTGTGCCAGAGAACAGATTTACAGAAATTTCTAGTATCCTTATGTTTGAAAGACACAGAGTATATGGAAAGTAGCAATTTGCAAATACCTCCTTATCTTTGGCCTTTGTGAGTCTTTTAAAGACAGTCCTGAAAAAAATGACAAGGCCTTCTGCTGCCATGATTTTTCAAAGATGCTGGAAAAGGAACAGATAAATAAAATGGAAAAATAAGTCTATCAATCTGTCTATCATCTGTCTATCTATCTAAGCTCTCATCTGTTTATTCATCCAGCTACCTGGAACTCTTTTTGTGTGTATGACAAAGGAAAGATGATTCCTCACTCAGATATGTAGAAATAGACACCATACTTCTAAAATTCTTCATTCTTAGGAGAGAATTCTTGAAACTCCCAGGAAATTTCCCTAGCCTGAGAAGAAAATATGCGTTTTAGACCAGATATATTTATTTCCTCTAAGAGACCTACTTCCACTTACGTTTGCCTTTAATTGTGTTAATGAGACATAGAAACTAATTTATTTCCACAAAATGCCCTTATCTTGAATTTCTTCTCTGTCCGTATCCAATGTATTACCTCATCTAGTCCAAGGAAGGTCATACCTCGGGTATTTATTTTGACAATGGATAATTTTTTTTTAAATGGCAGTACCAGGGATTGGACCTGGGACCTTGTGCACACTAAGTATGTGCTCTACCACTGAGCTCTAGCTACCTCCCCCACTTATGGTTTACTTTGAACATCTTACGGTAATACTGAATAAAAGAAGATCAGTACTGGAAGAGGAATATTTGGTCATCTGTGAAATAATAATAATGCTAGAATCAAACATTTGTGGACAACTAACAATATTTGGAAATCATGCTCCATATATGTACTAATTTAATCCTCACAATAGCTCTGCAATACGAGTGACAACATCATCCCTGTGTTTACTGACAGAGTAAACAGAGGCCCAGAGCAGTTAAGTAACTTGTCCAGGGTCACACAGTTTGCAGTTCAACAGAGTCAGGGTTTTGACCCAAGTGGTCTGCCTCCAAGTCTTTATTCTTAACCAATCAAGTTCATTCCCTTTCTAAAGGGACTAAGAGTAAACAAAAAGAGTCATTGTGGTGTTTGCTTTATTTACGATGGAAATGAAGGAAAAAAGATCAAAACATACTGACCACCATTCTAGGCATTTTGGGGTTGGGGATGGAGGTGCCTGTGTGACTGTGCACACACAGA